AGTGGTGTTGGTGGTGTGTGATAGTGTAGTGGTGGTGGTGTGTGATAGTGGTAGTGGTGTTGGTGGTGTGTGATAGTGGTAGTGGTGTTGGTGGTGTGTGATAGTGGTAGTGGTGTTGGTGGTGTGTGATAGTGGTAGTGGTGTTGGTGGTGATAGTAGTGTTATTGGCAGTGATGTTGACGGTGGAGGTGGTGTGTGTGATGGTGCATGATGGTGGTAGTGGTGGTGATGATAGCAGAGCCTCCCTAACACAGGTCTGAGCTTAAAGCATGGACCAGTATGCACATGAAAACATAATTAATGAGGTGACTGGTGGCCGGCCTCCAAGTGAACACAAAATGGAAAGTAAATATTTTGATATCTGTTGACCCTTAAAGTTGAGAGAGGCAAGTCACTCTTTACTTCACCGGGCACTGAGGTGGAGGAGAGAAGAGGAGGAAGGGCGGGGGGGAAGAGGAGGAGAGTGGAAGAGGGAAGAGGAGGGAAGAGGAAGAGGGAGGAGGACAGAGGGAGAGGCGGAGAAGGAAAAGAGGTGGAGGAAGAGGGAAAGATAGAGACGAGGAGAATGGAAAGGGAGGGGGAATGGAAATAGGAAGATGAAAAGAAGGGAAAGAAGAAGAGGAAGAGATGGAAAAGAGGAGGAGGAGGAGGAAAAATGGAAGAGGAGGAGAGAAAGGAGAGGAGGAAGATGTCGGACATGAAGCACCAACACACTCCCCTGAACAAGACTGACCACTACTGTCTCATTGCCCTCAAAATCAATCACTTTAACCCTCACGAAGATCCAAGACTCTTAAGAAGAACTTCCTATACGATTCAATTCTAACCTGAACTTGATCCAGCCTATCCAAAACAGATGAGCATCACAAGAGAGGAAGAAAAGTTGAATAGGTAAAAAAAAATCTATTAAATAAAAATGTCATAGCTACAAACATAGAATTAACATCGGCAAAAATACATAAAGTTTGTAAAGCATAAAGTGAACACCAATGCTATTACCTAACAGATTTACTGACTGGGGAGCCAAAAGGGGGACACACATAAATACAGGAAGGAAAATGTTTCGGTACAGTTTTTATCAAGAATATTAAAGGTACAGGATAGCTTCACAACAACCAACACATCCCGTAAAGAACCTTGATGAACCACTGTCTCGGTTTACTCCTGAACTCTGAAGCATTACACTCGAGGCAACTATCAGAGGTACAGTGGATAGGTATGATTATATTATCATTGTCATTATTATTATTATTATTATTATTATTATTATTATTATTATTATTATTACTAATTATTTATTTACTGGCCTTATTTATTTATTATTGGTATTATATATATTTTTTTTTCCCACTACTATTAAGGACAATTTCACATACAAAAAATTTACAATGGTCGTAATTTCTGTTTCAATTACAATGTTATCGAATGATATGCAAGTCACACACACACAAAAAAAAACATGATATTTCGATTCCCCCAAAACTGCAAACGTATTTTCAACATTGCATATACTCACGGCATGATAATTAAAAAACATAAAAATACGATAATATATTGCAATTGAAAAGATCATCAAGCGAACTCTAAATCCGTGTTTTATTGCACCAATTTCACGCACCAGAAAGCATATAGCATATAGTGATAACAGTTCATGTTTATATATAGTCAGAGAACTGTTACTGGGCATAGATGTATACGTGAGAGAGAGAGAGGTGGATGAATGTGGAGATAGGTAAAGGAGGGAGACTAAAGAGGTGGAAGATAGGGTGAGGCATAGAGGTGGAGAGGGACGAATGACGGAGGTGTGAGGTAGGATTGGAAGACAGACAGACAGACAGAGGAAGAGTTAGATAGACAGACAGAGAAAGAGTTAGATAGATAGAGAGAAAGAGTTAGATAGATAGAACCAGACAGAGAAGAGTTAGATAGACAGACAGACAGATACACGAGAGAAGAGTTGAAATTAGTGATTGGAACGTAAGAGGAAAATTAAATGAAAGAAGATAAATATAAGGAAATAGAGAGACAAGAAACCGAGAGAAAACAAAACAGAAAGGGAAGAGAGAGAGAGAGAAACAGGAGAGAGATAGAGCGAGAGATGGCAATTACTACTATGAGGACTTGACGTGATGTGTATAGTTCAGCATACTCTTGAGTGTATTGTTCACCTCTGACTGACATTGCAATCACACAGAGACAATAATAGAGAAGTTCATTTACCACCAAAAGGGTACGAATTTAACGTACCGAACCCGTGAACCCCAACCCGTGTATACGAACTTTTCTGAACCCGTGAATCCGAACCCGTGTATCCGAACCCGTGAATCCGAACCCGTGTATACGAACTTATGAATCTGAACCCGTGTATCCGAACCCGTGAATCAGAACCCGTGAACTCAAACTTTAATGAAGGGGATTTAGATAGAAATCTTTCTTAACACCGCTTTTAATACAACTATTTATTGATTAACTGAATGACATGGACACATTAATAGCACATTATATTTAAGTTACTAGAACATTATATTTACGTTACTAGACACTGACTCTCGGACACAAACATAAAATGAATACACTTCCCACCGTAAGTAACTCACCCTATGGATAGCTCTGACAATGACTCACTTGTGACCTGGGGGAGGCCCAGCGGGTGCTGCTGGACTCTGTCTCCTATGGGAGACTGCTAGCTGGAGACGCGGTGCTGGGGAGGGAAGTCTCCCTCCAGACCTCTACTAGTAACAAGCGTGACTCCGTCCTCTGTCTTCAGTGATGTGAAGGTAATGCCCCGTGGAAGGAGCTGCAGGGCCTTTATGGGAGTCCCCAGCCAGCAGATGACCTCTCCTAATTAACACTAAACTGGTTAGATCTGGACAGCTGTGTTTGTCCAGGTGCGTGGTCATGTCGCAGGTCGGTAATGCTTCCTAATTATTACCACCCGGTCATGTCGCCGGTTGAGCTAATCGCGTGGCGGTGAGAACTCTGGGTCAATGAGACCTCTCTTGGGTCATGTCTGGACAGCTTGTCCAGGTGTAGTTTCTTGAGTAACACGATCATAACGCCCGGTTAACTCAGGTACCTTGTCCGGGTCAGGTCTTACTGTCACTGTAGGGAGTGTCAGCTTATGTGGGTTACCACGTGGGCATCATCTTACTGTTGTATGTGTTGTTCTTCTCTCGGCTGTAAGCTGTGGCCTGATAAACAATCCTTACATAACCCGTGAATCCGAACCAGTGTATCCAAATCCGTGAATTCGAAACCGTGAATCCGAACCCTTATATCCGACCCCGTGAATTCGAACCCGTGTATCCGACCCCGCGAATCCTAACCCTTGAATCTGAACCCATGAATCCGAACCGGTATATCCGAACCCTTTTTCTGAACCCGAACCCAAATGAATCTGAACCCACCACCTCACACGTTCTAGGTCACCTTGTAAATAAAACTCCAACACGAACCCGGGAATTATTTCTTCCCTTCTCTTCCTCTTTCTCCCACTTGTCATTTTTCTCTTTGCAATAAACTTTTTCGCCCACTTCAAAGGTTATCAAAGCAGATATATTTTGGGGATATTTTTTAGTGAAGAATTTTATATGTTTTTTCAATTACATTTAGTGAGATGTTTCATTCAATTAAAGTTTTTTTTTTTGGCACTATTATTTTTGTCTCATAACAGTAAAGTATGGTAATTAAATTATTATATTCAGATTTCATGAGAGGGGTAAATGTTCATTGAAATCTAATGTTTATTTAAGAAAAGTCATTCAAGCTTGAGATTCTCTGTATAATGTTCCAGTGATCCTGTCTATAACTTTCTAATCATCAGCCACTATCCCTCTCTCTTTGTCTCTCTCTAGCACACACACACTACTACTACCTTACTACTACTTTGCTGACACTCGGAATCGAGTATGACGATCATCCAGCTATGATACAATGATATGAGTTATTAGGGATGCCACCTTCATTGGTGAGTTTTCAGGTGACTAAAGAGGCCGATACGGGACCGGCAGGGTTGTTCACAGATGTTGCACATGTGAAGGGCTACACCAAGTGCGGGAGGGGCGGTGGCAGCGTCTTTCCGGCGTTGGCGCTTGTCTGCCTCGGTTTGCAGTCGGGCTAACTCGAAAGTATTGACACCTTCTCGTGTGGTGCTCCTCCACGCCTTACGATGTGGAGGTATCGTCTCCCAGGTGAGGGGGTCGATTTGGCACTTTTTCAGGTTTGTCTTAAGACTATCCATATACTTTTTCAATTGCGGGCCGGCGTTATGTTTACTATTCGTTAGGTGACTAAAGTAGCTGCTTTGGCAGTCTACTGTCGTCTATGCACGAATGGCCAGTCCAACGTGGTTGTTCATAGATAATGGTAGCCTCGATGCTCCTACAGTTGGTGTCAGCAAGAATACTGGCTCATTGTTCTCTTGTCTTCCCAGCGAACTCGGAGGATGGAACGTAGACTACGTTGGTGAAAATTTGAAGTGCGTTGAAGGTGCTCCGTTGTTTCCATTTTCCCGTGTGATTTTATCAAGATTTATCTTATCCACGTTTTCATTGTGGATTTACATGAAATATATATATATATATATATATATATATATATATATATATATATATATATATATATATATATATATATATATATATGTTATGCATGTATAGTAAAATTTTATTCGTATTTCACATGGTTGGGTGAACACAATATATGTTATATCTGTGTTGGTCTGCCACAGCGGGACTCGTATAAAAATATTCGAGCCAATCACACTCGCACTCGTAGTAATAAACCATTTGTATTCATGGACACACCCAGAACCTCTCTCTCCTACGCTCACCGTGACTTATCCCTTCCTAACTGTTCACACCACAAATTGATATCGTGGCAGCCATTTTTACTGAATTTTTCTTTATTTTTATTTTTCATTTTTTCACATGGGAGAACTGTAGGCGGAGATATCGAACTGGCTGTCATAAGATTCCTGCCTGAAATATTTATGGACCAACCTGAGGCGTCACCCTGGCTAACACAGAGAGCTCTTGTACCTTTATCATCTACTGCCTCTTGGTTATTGGTGAGCGTCAAGCCGGTGAGGATACGGCTGTGTATAATTCCACAATAACTGCTGACGTTTGTGGGTGTGAGTCGTGTTGTTGAGTCCTGTAGTGAAGGGAGGAGTATGGCTGTGAGGGGCGCTTGGGTGTGTCTTGTAAGATTTGTAAACACACACACACACACACACACACACACACACACACACACACACACACACAGACTTCAAGATTAAAACAAAACATCTTGAGCATCATCGCCATCATCAGAGAACACGCAGCATCACTTTACACACACACACACACACACACACACACACACACACCTGTATCAATATTCAGGATCAAAGAGGACCATCATCCTAGAAGAGACCCGCCGGCAGGTGTTCCTCCGCTATTAAACTCTTGTCGCACCTGCCTTTATGCATGTTTACCTGGAGTACGAGCACACCATGGTAAAGATCCCCCTCTCTCTCTCTCTCTCTCTCTCTCTCTCTCCGCCTTGGTTCTGGCGAGACATAAAGATGGACGCCACGTCATTATAAGGTCGTCACTCACACCTCAACGTATAATAAAAACGACTTAAATAGTGTGAGATTGGTGGTCCCGTTTCTCAAAAGTCCTCACCTTACGATAAAAATGTTCTCGTAAGTGATAACGTAACTAATTATTTGACTTAAGATAAAACACTATCGTATCAGAATTGCATTAAGATCCTACTTTAACTTGATACGTTTACTTAACATTAGGTTAAAACACAAAGGAAGAGATTCATTGTAAAGAAAAATTATCTTAAGTTAATTTTTACTTTTATTTGGTGTTAAGTGAATATATCTAGTTAAGGTAGTGTCTCAGGGTAGTTTTGGTTCCAGGTGTACCAACCATCCATCGTAAGGTACTGAACACTGAGAATCAAGACGCCAGGGAGACCTCATCAGTGCTATGTAAGACCCTGTAATCAAGCGGTATTTTTGCCCCGGAATTCACCTGTGCATTAGAGAATCAACTGAGTGAACGGAATGCGAGAAGGAACGAAAAGGAGACAGCAAGATAGCAGAAGATAAAGAAAGGGAAACAAAAGAAGATTGATTACTAAGAAGGTAAAAATATAATGAATAAGGAAAATAGAATGAAAAAAAATCGTATAAAAGGAATATGACAAGAAAATAACTAATTTTAGTGAGAATAAAGAAACTGATGAAAGAAGGAAGAAGACGAGAGAAAATAAACAATTAAACAAAAGCAAGAGTCAAAAAAGAATGAAACAAAACTGACAAGAATAGTCTAAAAAGAAAGAATAAATTCCAAATAACGAAAATGGAACACAGAGGAGAAACCCAATGGAGAAATACGTATTCAAATATTAGTGTTTCTGTGACATACATATCACCATTGAAACAGAGGAGGAATTAAAGAATAAATAAAGGGATGATCTTATGACAACCAAGGTCTATCCTCAACAGACCGTGATGGCAAATTTTAGCCTATGTCCGGCAGCACTGATCAGGCGCGTCACACGGTTGAGAGGCGCCTGAGGATTGCCACTACTATCGTACAGTGTTGAGACCCAGTTAGAATTGACAGTGTGAGAGGAATGTTTTATATTGGGGGGAAGTAAAGGACTGTTGAAGAGTTTTTATTTTATATATATTTTTTTTTTGCGAGAGTGTGGTAGATTTATATATAATTCCTTATGACCAAAGAGATATTATTTGGTGTTCACTTTTCGGCTACTTTTGTAAATTACCCAAAACAAATATAAAGTGTAAGTGTTTCATCTGCCTTAATTTGGAAAACTTTTATGTAAAATTTTATTCCTAAGTTTTCGGTCTCGCTTGAAAAAAGATCCAAATTATCCTGAGAAGAAATTAAGAAACTTCCCTGGGTTCCTCACCTCCGCCTCAGGGAAGGAAAAAGAAGGAAAAGTCGTGTGTTTTTTTTCCCTGTTTAACTTCTTTCCTCATGTCACTTAGTGTATAGTGTGTGATCATTGGTGGTAAAACCCTGTCACTTCCTTGCACGTCTTTTCTCTCATGCCAGTTGCACAGTTTTCTCACTTCCCGGAAATAAACTTTATCTTTATTCATCAATATCCCTAACTGACAGTCTTTGAAGCATCAGCCCCCCTTGCAACTTCTGTTACAATATCATGCAACAGTGTATTGGATGTCGACCTTCCTGGAATTGTGTCGATGGTCTGTACCTTGTGATGTGCAGTGGTAGTGTTGACGTCCTTCACATCTCCTGGTCGTGGTGACACCGACCCGGTAGTAATATTTCCTTCCTCTTGCTTTAGTCGTGTAGGAAGAGGCGGCGCTGGACGTTAGTATAGTGGGGTTATATCCACACTATGGGTTAATAATGGGCTCCTTGGGTGTGGGGCGTGTATCGTGGTGGGATGGTGGGGTTACCGACAGTTCATTGATCCCAAACTCTGACCTAACTTAAGCGTTCGGCTCGATAAACCTTTGCATCAATAAACTTTAGTACCCATTCAGACCATTGCCTCTGCTCCCTTCAGTGGCAGTTTCTTGTAATGGTGAGCAAATAAACAAAACTACATGGTCTTCATATGTTCATTAGTCTTAAGGTAACTCACACACATAATAAACATTCCAATATATGTATAAAATCATGTATGGATTCAGGTCACCTTATCCAGCACCATCTATAAGCTACATGATAATGATCTTGAGAAGTCGCCACGATAGCTTTCTCGTTGAGTTGAACCAGATACGAGCTGTTGCCAGAGTCAGTAACTGGAGAGAGAGAGAGAGACAACGCGGCTTTCACAAACAGATCATCCACGTCCCCCTTTTAGCTCATCCCTGACTTCATGGCCAGGGATATATTTGCGAGCTTTTGATGCGTCAGGTTTCATACAGAGTCTCCGGGTAACGTTCTGCCAGATTGAACTAGCCAGAGAATAAGCCCATCTGTATCCCTGGCTGTGACGACCTCCGCTGCTTGTATTGATGTTAGTGCAATGGTGGGATCATCCCTCTGTTAGTTGCCTGCCTCCTACATAGTGTGTATATATATATATATATATATATATATATATATATATATATATATATATATATATATATATATATATATATATATATATATTTGCTGGTGATTGTACAGAACGTGGCCTGACAGGTAATCACATCAACATGGTTATCCCATCGATAAACTGTCATAAAACCTACATAAACCTAAATGGCACTTATGATGGCTAAACAACAACCAAAAAAGCCGGAAAAATAATCCACAACTAAAATACAAAATCAATCTTCATATACATTTGTTTCATCTATTTTGGGGGAGAAACATTTCCGATTTTTTTTGTAATCCCTCGTCTGTTACTTGTCTGAGATCCTGATAAGACCGATTCTCTCTACTGAATAACTTTACTTGTCACACCTCTGTTCCTCTCAACCTATTTTATTCACGTGAGGTATATATAGTAGTAATCCTTCTTGTGGCTTTATTGACAGATGACACTCGCTGCGTAAATAGTTCAGGTCTTTTAAAAGCTAGTTGTTGTTTTTGGTTATATATTTACAAAGTTCAAAGTGAGTTGCATAGATAATGCATTCCTCTCTCTCTCTCTCGTAGATGCGTGTATACCGTCACTCTGTTACATTTGAGAAGAATAAACTGTGAAAATATTTAACCATGGATGTCAATAAAGGGAAATGGAAAAAGAAGTCACAATTTAGTTTGGTTTGGTTAGGTTAGGTTGGTTACCTGACTGGTTTTGGGACAGCACCACTCGTTTCAATTTCTATACGATTTTGAAGCGCTTGAAATAGACCAGAGATCGGTTCTGTATCCTAAATTCATGTAAATAATTCCTACGTAATATCCAACCTGGTAGCTGCGGTTATTGGCTTCAGCAGGGACCAGTGTTTACCAAATTTATAAAACAAACAAAGTGCGCCTTGAAAGTTGAGTTTTCCGAAGTTCTTCCTTTCGATAAGATTTTTAGTGTTTTGGGTCCAAAGTTCTTCTTGGATAATTACTGCATATGCATTAGTGTGTATGTGTTTGTTCCTGTTACTGATGCTACTGCTACTGCTGCTGTTACTCTTAGTGGTGATTATATTGTTACTTACTAGTTGTGGTGTTGTTGCCTCTATTACTACCTGTTATCGTATTGCTATTACTACTATGCCCTGGGCTACTTGCTACTATATTGCTAGCATTATCACAACTTTGCTATTTGTTAATGTACTACTACTACTACTACTACTACTACTACTGCTATTATTATTATTATTATTATTATTGTTATTGTTATTATTACTACTACTACTACTACTACTACTACTGCTATTATTATTATTTTTATGTTATTGTTATTACTACTACTACTACTACTACTACTACTACTACTACTTTTTTTTAAACTGCGCCTCCAGCCTCCCCAATAGCCACACCTTCGCCGCCATTTTATTACCTTAAAATTAGATATCCTAATACATAAGTAGCTATCCTAGCTGTGTTGAGTTAGTTGAACCAGCAGATCTATGCGGCATTTAGTGACTGCAGCCTCATAGTCAATATCTGCAACTGTTGTCGGCTTTGGGGCCGATGTCTCGTTCCCCTGAGGCATATAAAACGACCGAAGGAGAAGAAGGACAGTCGACATCTCATCCAGGCTGTAACATAACTTCTGGGCTGCTGCTTCTGTTCGGAGATCACCTCCGCGAGTCTGGCGTAGAAACATCTTGCACTTGGTCCCATCCACCAGGTTGTGAACACCAGAGGAGTGAAGCTGCCTTGATCAACGTTCTGAATTCTCTCCCTGTATGCCCTTATCTTGCCGTGCTCGCTGTGTCCCTGGTCCAGAATCCTCGAGCACTGACGTCAACACGGGCTTCGTTGGATGTGTTTGAAGTCCTATGTTGAATTCTCACGGTCCAATGGAAGGAGGGTCGGTTCTACCATGACATCACGGCAGATTTCCTTCAACATATTTGCTCTGAGATCCCCCACTTCGTCATGCCTCATGCATATACTACTACTATTATTATTACTACTATAACAATAACAACTACTACTACTACTACTACTACTACTACTACTACTACTACTACTACTACTACTACTACTACTACTACTACTACTACTACTACTACTACTACTACTACTTACTACCTGCCCTGATCAGCCTCCAGCCGCTCCTGTAACTATCCTTAGTCTCCACACCAGTCCAGTAAGCCGGATATTTGGGGCGGTTTAACTCAGTAATGAAAGTAAACGCTACCTGCAAACTACAGCGTGGTTGTTTGTGGCTCTGCAATTTGGGTGTTGATGATTTACAAGGGAGCGACTAACATATTTTACTGTGTGTGTGTGTGTGTGTGTGTGTGTGTGTGTGTGTGTGTGTGTGTGTGTGTGTGTGTGTGTGTGTGTGTGTGTGTGTGTGTGTGTGTTGTGTGTGAAGGTGATCGAGTGCAA